TTGGTTTAAATCTTCTTTTCATTCCAGTGACAACAACCCTCTAACCACCCTTCCACTACTTGGTAGTTGTTCGTGAATTTTGGTTTATTTAGTCCCCAAGACAAACCCTATTATGAGTTTGTAAATAGAGAGAGTCTTCTTAAGCTAGGGTAATCTATTTTGTAAGAAAAATTTAGCCTCTTACACCTTAGATCCTTGAACAACCTGATTAGTGCTTAAAGTTAGCATTTTACTATGCCTTTTTGGGACTAATTGTGCTTTGATAGAGTTTAAGTAATGACATTTCAGGTCCTAAAGTGAACAAGAGCTCAAGGACAACAAATATCACACTTGGATATAACACTAGTGGATAAAGGGGCAAAATTGGAATAGCTTGGAACAAAGCAAGAAGGTTTGAACGTGGATCAACGTTCGAACGTTCCCTTGAAGTAATTGAGAACCGGGCTACTGAGACATGATGTGTTGCAGTCAAAAAGGAAAAATGCTGAGGTATTTGAGTACCACGTTCGAACGCCCACTCACGTTCGAACGTGCTCTGAAACCTGAGAAGACTAGACTACTAAGATCTGCTAGAGTGTTGCAGCAAAGAAAGCAGAACCACAGAAGTACTTGAGTACAACGTTTGAATGCCACTCCACGTTCGAACGTTGTCATGAGTTACTGAGGACTAAGTTGTTGAGTGCAAGGCCAGAGTTGTTCAAGACGTATGAAAGTAACCATCACAAAGACCACAAGCCACTTGAGTAGGGGGGTTCAAACCCCTCCGGCGTTCGAACGCCCTTAAAGCAAAAAAAGACACAATGTTCGAACGACAGATCACATTCGAACGCCCTTAAAACAAAAAAAAGACACAACTTTTGAACGACAAATCACATTCAAACGTCCCCCACTGATTGGCTGCAGAGTTGTTGGCTTTTCACTTGGACTTGGGCGGCAAACACTATTCCTTCATGCCCCCTCCTTTTCCTTGCCTATAAATACCCCCATTGTGGGAGCTTCAAAGGGGGCATGACTTCTCTTGTGGAGTAGAGTACAATCTTTTTCTCTTGTAAAGTAGAGTAGAGAGCTAGTTCTTGTACATTTTCTGTTTATGTTTTCATTTTGTATTTGTATCAACTATGATGGAGGCTTAGATTCCCCTTGTAGTTAAAGTCTTTTATTTACTTGAGCTAAGTCTTTATATTCATATCGTGACAACCATGATGGAGGCTTAGACTCCCCTTATAGTTATACTTGCTTTTATTTACAAGTATCAAGAGAGATAGCTCAGCTTTTGGTTGTGGTGAAAACCCTCCAAAAGTAACTAGTTTTCTTCTACTTTATTTCACTTCCATTACTTGAGCTTCCTTAGAGGAGTGAAACTCTTTCACTTTTTTAGAGCTTTACCAAAGTCATGAAGGGTGGAACGTGATTCACTTATTCTTTGGTAAATATCGGCTCCTCGTTTATTGTACTTTATTTTGTAAGTTCTCTACTTGGGGGGATGAGCATTACTCACTTTTCTAGCTTTATCCAAGCCATGAAAAGTGAGTAGTTCCTCATTCACTCTTTAGTTAGAGGTGATGAATATGTAGAAATTATCTGTGAGTTATATTTGTGTAATCCATTTATGCTTTAATGCTTTATATTTTCACTTGTTCATTGAATGGTTGAATTTGTATAGCAAAGCTAAGGTACCTTGTTTAACCATGGGTTCTTTCTATGTCACATATGACTCTTGCATGGAATAATCTATTGGTTCAAGGCAAGTACCTAGGCGATATCTGCATGATACATTTCAATCTAAGAATGGAACATTAATGTCATGGTTGGATGTCTTGTAGAAACACTTGCTCGTTTGTAGACGAGTTAAATCTCAGCACAGACAATTCTTGTCCACTTCTAGAAAGGCATCATAATAATGTGCTTAATTCTCACAGTCCATCTTTATCTTCCGATTAACTTGTTGTTGACACGAGAGTTAATTGAGTTATAAAACACAAGTATAATAAATCGAATGATTAACCACATGTTTTGATCCTCAAGCTAAAGGGTGACTGTTTTATATTTGAATTTATCTTATATTTTGTCTAAAAAACCCTTGAAAAGAATCTTCTATTCTATTCAAGAAATTCCACCACTCCAAACTCTCAAAATTTCCAGTCACTTGGTCTCTATTATTGCTTATTTCAAAACACCAATCATAGTTTCCTGTGGATTTGACTCCGGACTTAACCGGATTATTATTACAACTTGACCGCCTACACTTGGGTGTACACATTCGAATCAAGCCACACCCTAGAGAATAAAGCAAATCCATCTTGAGACTCTCGTCCAACTTCACATATTGGAGAATGCGATCTAGTTTGGAGATCATCCAAAATCCATTGAAGAGGTGTGTATTTCAGGGATCTTGATGAAGAAGAATGCTCAAGCCCTAAAAAATCCATTACGATAGAGAGTTCAAGTGAAACTATCTATAACATCGAAGAGGGGCTATCAGTGAAAAGATCTATTGAAAGAAATAAACATCTAACAATTGTATTAGTTAAGGTATAATACTTGAGTATTTATACATTGACCTTGAGATAGTGGATTTGTTTGTTTTCTTTTGTTGTGACACACTCTTATTCTTATGCCCTGATGCCTTTTATCATTACTGACTTGGAGTTTTATGCCATGTTTATCATTTTCCTTATTCTATATACCTATTCATGCTAGATAATTTGTATTGATATCTCTTTATTATACCATGTTTCTCTATTTTCCTTGTTATGATTGTGTGTTTGACACTTTGTGACAAAAAGGGGGGACAATTTTTTTTGGGTAATTTTAGGAGATATTTGTGTTGCTAGCTAGGGTTAGTTGCATGAGAATAAAGTAAGGGAGAGTTTGTTGAAATACTAGGGGAGCACATACATAAATTTGAAATGAAGTCAAATATTTTCTTTATTTATTTTTCACTTATTATTTTGTTTGTGAATACCAACTAAAAGGGAGAACTAGTTGTGTATTGCCTTTGTTAAATCTATAGGTTCTCAAGCATAATGGGCTAACATTACTTACGTATGTTACATATTTGCATGTGCATAATGTTAACATGAAAATACCCTACACTTCTCTTAGTGATTTTTATACTTGTGATTATGTTATGAATTATTTATGATACTTTTCACGAGGTATTGCTTGAGTTGTGGTGTGCATCACTATGATCTTCAAAAATTTCATGAAGAAGATAGTTTATGTACTTACTATTGAGATTGACAGACTTATACTAGAGTGTTGAGATTAGTTTACAATTGATTTTGTTCTCAGTGGTTTTTGAGTTGTAATCTTTAATTTCTTACTCTTATATTTGTCACAAAATTGCCAAAAGGGGAGATTGTAAGGATCATATTTTTAATTGGCTAATTTTGTGAAGTCTTATGCAATCTCAACCTAATTTCATAGTTATCAAGATTCATAAGCGATAAGAAATGGAACGAGATCAGCTATAATGTCATATCAAGATCACTCTAACGCACCTTCAAGCTTAGGACAAAGGTAGTGACCTTCAAAACCTATGAAACCCTTTGTTTAATTCATTGGACTTAGGATAATTTAGGAATAAATAGAATTAGAAAAATCTAGAAATGACTCCTAGGATTTTCAAAGAATTTTGTTTCTAAACCTTAACTATGTTTTGAACACATAGATTGAGTCATTCATCAGACCCCACTTGAGCAACATTTTTTAGTGCTCAAGGAATAAGTTGTTTGCTTGATTTTCAACTCATCAATCTTTGTCAATTTTATTACTCAGTGTTTAGATACTGTTCTAGCTCAAGGCAAACCAGCAAAGTGGTCCTGAGCTCAATCGGTCTTGAGATTGCTCGAGTGGTCCTTGATCTTCTGCTAAGCTTTGAAAACTTTTTCTATTCTAGCCCCCACCGCCCTCCCACTGTTCTGTTTGTGAATTTCAGTCTACTTGATCCCCAAACTTGACCTAATTAGGAGCTTATAAATATAGGGAAGCATTCTCATACTAGGGAAAGCCTCTTATGACCTAAATTTTGCCTATTGAATATATATGGAGCTTAGGAACAACCCTAGATCCCTAAATCCAAGGCTACTCATCTTGAGACTTGGAGAAGACGATCTTGGTTGAGGATTCACCAAAACCCACTTTGGAAAAGTGTGCATACCAAGGACCCTGGTGGAGAATTATCCATTGCAGTGTCAAAACAATCCATTTGCAGTGGAGAGTTCAAGTGAAATTATCCATAACAACGAAAAGGGACTTTCGATGGAGAGATCTATTGAAGGAAAGAAGCATCTAGTCATGGTATTGATTGAAGTATAAGACTCAAATATTTTGTATATTGACTTTGAGATAGTGGATTAAACTTTGATGAATCCCAAATGGTTCCCCGCAATTTTTTCCGATTGGATTTCTGTGTCAACAATTGCTTGTGTCTCTTATTGCTTTAAATTTCCTTGTACATTGCAAATTGATGCTGACATGCATACCATGTGTTTGATGTTTGATCGTTTTATCTTTCAATCATTAAAATTGGTTTTTATGAGTTTGTCTTGGTTGGGATCGATATAAGAGATTGAGTGTTAATTGTCAATTGACATATTTTTAACTTCAATCCCCATGACAGGTTTGGATTGTTCTCATTGAGTTCCCATGACTAGATTAAGATATAAAAATAAAATATGAAAAATAATCCAATAATTTCTCAACATACTATCAATTGAAATAAATTTATTGTATTAAATCTAATATTCGAACCAAATATAAATATAAAAGTGCTTATTATTTTTATTACCAAGTGGTTGCATTTTGTAGTTTTTACGAAGACTTGGTAAAATTTAATTTACTAATTTGGTGTTGGGTAAAAATTTACTACAGCCTTATTCTAATCCTAGAATTTTGAACGAAGGCATCAATGCAAGTATCCGTAAAATATGAGTGCATGATTGGAAATTTGTAAATAGCCGATAAATATATACAAATAACCAAAATCTGGCAGCTTCCTTTCCCGTCCGCCACCCTCGTCTCTGTACCATACCAGCTGATAGTGGGAGTGAAACATATTTGATTTTGATTTTGATTTGGCAAAGAATCGTCCTTCTGCCTTGCGTTTGGGTTTCCCAATGACCGCAAACAGGATATAAGAGAGATCGAGACTAGTAAGCACTTTTGTTTTTGAAAATTTTTGAGCTAAAAATTGTAACTTGTATCAGGGTTTTTACCCAACTTTGGAGTCAAGCTCGTACTCGTATAGATAAATTTGGTGTGTATATATGGTTTAGCTGTTAATTGTTCAAACTGTTGTGATAAACTGAGTTCTGGGCTACCCGATAAAATCAAATAAGGTTTTGGAAGCTTAGCATGTGGACCAGGATGAGAATTGAGAAAAAATTCCCAGCTCAAACTTTATATGATGCAGGATTTTTCTTAAACAAAAATTTCCATGGTCGAGCATTTTCTAATTAAGACCATAAATTACAAGTCACTTTGATGGGTGTATCGTTACTTTTTTTTAATGCTGTTCTTAAATTGGGTATTTATTCAGTTCATCCCTCTGAGCACCCTCAATGTAGGAGAATCAAACTAGATTATGAACTTTTGTTTAGTCACTTATGTTATTTATGTGATTATTTGTACCAATTCTGGTTGTGCTGTTTAGTAATAAATGTGGGCTAGAATGATCTAATGATTCTAAGTTATGTACAAGAGAATGTAAGATGGAGGTTATGGAGAATTTTGGACTACAGCTCGAGAATTCTGAGTAGTTGCAGAGGCTGGTTGTCTGTGGAGTAGAGTTGTCTGTTGTTGTCATCTTTCTGCTACTCTCTATAGACACAATTGTTAAGTGCATTAGCCATGTTTGTTGGAGTTACTTCATGTCGATAACTGCTCCCCACTTTCTGGCCACTATTCTTTCTTCATCGAATGATTGTTTGTCGTGGCCATTGCCACAGTTACCACACTTCTTGTTGGTTGCTCCTGTTTTCTTGACACATCTTGAAATCCATATTGTTTGCTCAAGATGAGATGCATATGTGTCAAGTCAACATCCCTGGACTGATATCATGATGTCATTGCCATTGGTGATTGGTCTATTCAAGCTTTATCGTGGACGATGGTGACCATTAGCCTAACTAGTCATTGGCCCATTAAGCCTTTAGGTACATAGGGTGATATCCTCTAGGCTAGCCTTATTACACTCTTGGTTCAAAGTATCGGCTTATACCGATACAACTCGGTCAAGTCGTATCTGAGACCAATACACATTATGTTCAAACCATGAGTCGCACTCCACGTTGACTTGGACACATTTTGAATGGCTTAATTAAGTCGTTTAATTCATCTTTCTCAGACACTGCAGTATTGTTCGCAGGTTTCTGAATATAGCCTCAATCTCTCTCTCTTTTTTACCATTTCTTTTATCTAGCATTGCGTGCATTAGGTCCATATGACTCCAATTTCCTAGGCCATTTATCACCCTGAATTGATATAAGGAATTTGGGTGTTTTTTGTTAAATAATAGCCTGGGTTAATATCGCATTGTCATATTGTGTTAATATAGGAGGTAAAAATGAATATATCCATTACGACAAAGCTATTGGACTCAGACTTATGAGTGCTCTGACTATATTTGTTCTACTGAATAGTCACTCACTTTTGATAGCAGTAGATTAGCCAAGACTGAGTCAATCGCATTTATTAGAAGTGGACAATAAGGTGCTAGCCAAAGATATTTGTCGAACCTTAGTTAGTAAGCCTTATCTATTTTGTTCTGTTGGTCGATATGTATCACACCTTTTTTCATATATGTTTATTTATAGAAGAATTGAAAGTGCGCATGAACTAGTTCCATGAAAGCAACAAGCGCCCTCTACCAACATGAAGATCATTACCAATGTATAAAGATGGCTTCAACATCAAAAACAAAACTGTAGAATTGAAATTATAGCCTCACCATTTTTCTCTCCCCAATTCACAACTAGAACATGCAATTGATAATGGAGACAGATTTCCCCACAGTGTGCAGTGAAGGATCTTTCTAGGTAGCCAATTTTTATTTAACTCGATCCAAGCTTGAGTTAGCCCAAACTTTGCCTAAAGACTTCCATTCCTTTCTTGGTTGGACCAACCCAAACGGTGATTTCTAACAAGTCTTTCTTAATTTTTAGTGCAAGAAGCGGAACTTTTGGGATGAAATGAAAAGTGTTTCTTGGGTTTATCCCCAAATAGATATTTTTTTTTTGTCTTAAAATTTTGAATGAAGCCATTAATGCAAGTATGGGAATAGTATGACAAAAGTGGATGAACGAAAAATCATGAATTGTGTGGACTGATATATGAATTGCCAATATCTGGCTTGATTGTCTCTCCAATCCACCTCCTAAAACCGTAACAGTTGACAGTGGGAGTGAATCAACCATTTTGGTTTTTCCCATCAATTGAAAAAATTAATGGTTGGAATCGTTTCTTCAATCTTGCGTTTGGGTTTATCAAGAGGTTATAATAAATCAGTACAATCAAGAACTTTTGTTACCAATTTTAGCTAAAAATTGAAGCTTGTATCCGGGTTTGTGCCCCAACTTGGGACCTAAGCACGTATAGGTATATTCAGTGCACATATATATGGGCATTGCTAATTGTCCAATCTGTAGTGGTAAAATAATTTATGGTCCGTAAGGTTTGAATGTTCTTCTTTTTCCTTTTTCCAATTCAATTACATAGAATTTTGTCCTCGTTGTGGATACTTTCATTGTTGTGACTAATTGTCAATTGCATTTTGTTGTATTGGCTGTTTTGTTATTAGGTAGATTCAAAAATTTGATTCCAAATAAACAGAAAAGATGGATAGGCAGTCCCCATATGCTGATTCCCGTATCAATCCATACACTGCTGCTCAGATGCAGAAACTGGCTGGAGAGAGAATGCAACAGAAGGCTGCACTGAATAATTTGCCCGGGCGATCAAATTCTTTTCCTGCTGAGCAAGGGGATCCATACGTTACTGCTCGGACAGGAGGGCAGTGGCAGTGGGACAGAGATGTACCAAACGTATCAAATCCGATGTCATCTCAACCATACACAGCAGGCAAGTATTGTTCTTCTACATTTAAGTGAATCATATCGTAGAATTGTGATGGGATATTACTGTTGAGAATTCAGATTTTGATGTTATCTTTAGTGTACATTCATGAAATTTCATAGGTACTTTGAAGTCTCTCAAGTTGTGTGTTTTTTATGAGTCTATAAGACTTACGGGTCCAATGGGTCTCAAATGAATTCATTTTCCAGGTGGAGTGCGATATATATTTGTGAAACACTGTGTCAAGGGTTGGAAGGATTCTATCTTGGATCCATGTAACACTCTAGAATTGAGCTATTAAAATTTGATAGGAATGTAATGTGTTCAATTTGAAGAGAGGGAATGTTAGGGTTCAGTTTGGCATGATAAAAGGCTACTATTTTGGAGTGATGGATAGTGTGGGAACAGTTGAGAGCACACATGAACTTTTCTCTTGCGTGGACACAATTGCTTTGTAAGAACTAAGAAAGTTAACGCTACATAAATTAAGGACACTGCAGAAAAAATTAGTGAAGACTTGCTGACTAAGACTAATGACTCTGCAGTAAGGGGGTGGTTGGGTCAAACAGAAGATTCTAAGAGAAGAGCTTGGGCCGAAGTGTTAATAAAGGAGATACTGGCTCAAAATTGAATAGCAAAACACCTAAAATAAGAACAAATTGCCAGAGAGATGTGTTATTTAGCCAAAAATCATTACAAAATTTCATCAAAAGTTTGGAAAAAATTATGAACTCAGATCCTCATTGAATACCAAATGTTGACATATTTTTGTGTTACTATGAGCTATGAAATCTTGTTTGCCATGTGATAGGCGATAGGCCTTCGTTTAAATATATATTCAATGTCTCTTTTTGGTCGTCTTAATATGAGTATTTTGGATGTGAGTGTGTTTTTTTTGGGAGATTGCTCCCCCCCCACACACACAAAAAAAAAAAAAGTAGGGGTGGGAATTCAGGGGGTGGATATAAGGATGGACCAAAGGTATCAGGGGCAGTCTAGTGTACGAGGCTCCCACCACTTCGGGTGCTTGTGGAGGTCAAAGGAAACAATTCAAGATCATGTCAATATTGATATTTTAAATCACGCTAGACCGATATCATATTATCCTAAGGGACAAAAAATGAGTAAGAAGTTCTACCTTGGGCAATATTCCATTTGAATATACTGGTAAGTTGACTCAAGCTTACTCTCTTGACCAATGACTTCCGCATAACTCGCATCCTTGTAACTGAATAAAGAACTCACACCAGTCTTGGAATCCCGGGAGACATCACCATAGTAATCAGCAGGAGTGGAAAGAATATACACTATAGGAGAGTCAAAGAATAGGCCTATTGGAACTATATCAAGATTAGAATGACAAGGAATATCCGTATTCGTATATAATAAGTTGAGCTCTATCTTTCTCGCCCATCTCATTAATATCTAGAAGGAAGCATTTGAGGGTAGCTTGATGATTAAGGGATAGGGACACTAAACATTTCCCACCAAAAGATCAGTCCAATGATACCACTCATTAGTAAATAGCGCAATACTTCTTCATGAATTTGTGCTATTTGAATACGGAACATCATAAGAATGAATAGGAATAAAACGGCTATAGCTCCTATATGAATTACTGGGAAGATCATAGCAAAATAGTAGGAGGACACCTTAGTCTACAACTGATTGTTTCAGAGACTCGGTTGTGTAATAGAATAAGTTGGACCCCTCCTGATCCAAGCCAAGATGAACTAACAAGTCTTTTATTTCTTCCTAAAGAGAGTCCATTGCTTGTTTTGCCGATCTTTCTTTCCTGGGTGGGACTCATCAATATACCTTCCCAGTGCTTCTAGCTCAATGTTACCTGGACCGTGGGTCGTTTTGGTGTGTAGTACGAGTACGGGTATATGGTACAACACTTTCTTAGTTACACGATACAATGAGAGTAAGTTTAGCTGGTACGATATCTTGGGTCATAATTCATTTTGAAACTCTTATATAAATCATTTTTACTACTATACAATAATTATATATTACAAAACATTTATAAACACTAAGTTGGTTATCATTTTTTTTATAGTTGTGCTTGATTTTCTATCATCTAAAACAATATATAATTATAAATCTAGCCAATTAATATTTTATATTTGTATTACATATTCTAAAGTGAATTGATTTAGAGTTAGTATTATAATTTGAAATCGTTCATTTTGACAATCTGGATCGCGAACCTACCTCGTTTGGGATTGATGTGTGAGTCGTTAAGGGTTTAGTAAATTGTGGTAACCATGTTCCAACTTCCTAAGTGAGTTTGCTTCTCTTTCCTAGGATCCTTGGATCGAGAGACCGGGTCATTCCTCTTGCCTAACCTTCTACATGCATAAATAAAGGCATTCCTCTTTGACTCTTCTAGTGTATCCAAACCAGATCTATAGTCATTTTGCCTTGTTCGTTCATTTTGCCTTTTTTTTTTTTATTAATAAACACATGTAACGAATACTTGAATAGTAACGAACTTGTTTTTCAATTTCAAATTGTTGTTGAGGTTGGTGGATGTAGCAATATGTGGCTACACGAATAGTTAGGAATAAGAATAGGTAGGACGTGTGTGCAAAGAGAATGAAACGTAGAAAACTGGATGATATTGAGGTCATTATAGGAGGGGATTGGAATTTTTCAGTGAAGAAGAAAACATTTTTGCAGGAAATGCAAAAATACTTATTTTGTAAAAATGCATGACTGATAACCTTTCCAAGGGCGGCCTCAGGTTTAGAGAACAAAAACTTCTACAGAAGTATATACATATGGGCACCTTCCAAAAATCTAGATATTAATTTCATCGCTTGCATCGTAAAGGATGAAAATATGATGAGCTGCCCTGCTTTATTAGGAGAGAGTAATGGAACAAATAATAATACCACTAATGGAGTGTATTTTAGTTTTTACTTAAGTCATTGATGAACAGGTTTAGATAGCAGAAGAAAGGTTTTGATATGGGTTTATCTAGTGGTAGGAAGTTTAGGACTACCCTGAAAAGGTACTTGTGGTTGGTTTTTCTGGAGAAACGAATGTCAATTAGAAAGGAAACATGACATCCCTAACTTAGCTAATGTATGATATGGTTCATGGAAAGGTTGGGTGGGTGGGTCTCACAAGAGAAAGGAGTATTGATAAGGTAGTTTATTGTGATCAATGACATGCATGATGAAGTAATTGCTAGGTGATCGCTTACATCTTCACTCTTCAAGTGAAAAAAAGAATAAAGAAAAAGGAAAGTGAAAACACTCAAGAGGAAGATTGCCGTTGAAAGGGAATAAATTTTCAATCATTTGAGGTTTTCATCAAACGTAGGGCTTTAGGGTTTCTCTCCTAGGTGTTAGTTAGATGAGCTTAATGGGCAGTTTCCAGTGATGCTTTCCAAATAGAATCATCTTCCAATGATATAAATATAGTTTGTGAAATTAGACTAGCAATTAATTAAGAACCTCTAGGTGCTACTTAATGTTTTGAATAAGTGGAATGGAATGGATATTTGAAACATGTAATGCCACTTTAAGTAAATTGTGAAAATCCATGGCCGGATGACCTAAAACAATCCATTTTGTTGTGTCAGATGGATTATTTTTGGATTTAGTGGGAAAAAATCTGAAGTGTTATATGATCATGGGGTACTTCCAAGTTGAAAGGAAAATTTATAGTGCAGTATATTTGTCAAGAACATTTTGTGCCTCGTAATACTGCTAAATCCAGACTAGATTTGTTGTAAAAATTAGTATAATTTGGATGAGCTAACAGAGATGAGATAACTAAAATGGTGAAAGAGGAAAAATGGATGAGTGGTTATGCGAGAAAGGAGTGTGAGATGAATGCTTTTTTGAGGAGCTAGAGGGGGCTAAATTGATTTCAAGATGTGAATGTTTTTATTTGCATATTTTGCTCGTGCATCAAAGATTGTGATTGTGCCTTGTGGGAAAAGCGACTTGGCTAAAGCCAGGGCGGAGCCAAGGTTCTCCCACAGTGGGGGCAACATAAAATTTAATAAGAATGTTAACATTTATTTTTGTAAAAAAAACTGCATAAAAGAGCAATGTAAAAAAAAAAAACTCACTATAAAAGTTATTTATAAATGTCAATTAAGATCATACGAGTAAACTCATTTCTTGAATTGAACTTTCATTATTATCCAATTTTCTAAGAGATCGATCATTGTACATAATATTCCAAAGAGATCGATACACTCGATTCAAATCCAAATGATCATAGTTGCTAACTGTTAACAAAAAAAAAGAAGAAGTAATAATAACATAACTCTAATTATAGTGCTAAGAAAATTAAAAAAAAATTGCGAAAACTATCGAAATTATAGAAATTGTTTATGCGTTATCCCTCACAATAGCTCTGACAGAATTTCTCATTTTCTTTAAAGCTATCCACTCAATGTACTAGCTAAACACTAATAGAATCAAAAACGAATTGACGAAAGATTAAAGAGAAAAGATAAAAGAAAGAAAAAAGAGTAAGGGGATATCAAAAGAGAAAAATTATGAGAAAATAATGTTTACAATCATGTATAGTTATGCTAATATCTTATTGGGTTTGCACTATGTATTAGTTATGTTTATTAAGAATGTGTTATGTTTATCTAAGTTTATGTCGAATCATTTATTTGGGAGATCTAATGGTTCTATTCATTATCACCCAAATCTAGTAAGATTAAACCACTCTAATTCTGAGTTAATTTTGTGACATGTTCATGAGTCACATTAAAATTGTTAGCATTATAATACTTAATTAAAATTATCCAAATAAAGAAAATTGGATGCCACTAGCCTATAGAGATCGAGTGTGACCCAAAATAAATTCAAATCTGTTGGAATTTTAATTAAATGTTTGTTTCATTTGGAATCATTAGATTTAAAAGTGAGGATATATACGGTTAGGATTACTTTCTATTTTTGTTGGAGACTTTTTTTTTTGGATCATATTTTACTGGAGTAAGAACAAATCTGTATTTTTGATGTTTTATTTTAGCTCTATAGTCCCCAAATACGTAGAGCCAACACATGGAGATCAACATGTAAGCCTATCAAATTTGTAGAAATCCACATTTAAAATGCATAAATACCCTAACTTTTTTACAATATTTCAATGGGGGCAAGATCCTAAAATTTTGAAAATACTAAATGTATCCCAATTTTTTTCAAAATTGCCGTGGGGGCAGTTGCCCCCACTGTGGCTCTGCCCTTGGCTAAAGCTGAGGATTGTTAGAAAGAGAGTGGAATAGCAGGACATTAAAACTTTAACAAACAAATATAGATATCATCTGCAATAAAGATGCATGGTGAATATTTGTGTAACTAGCTCTAAGTTGTTTGGAATGAAGGCATTGCCGAGGCGAGTAAACGTTTTTGTTTCTTTTGTTAGAAATGAAAAATTCTTTTGATTTAGCATAATAGGAATATTAATTTTGATACTTTAGAAATGTATCGATTTGCTTGTATGTTTTTTAAAGAAAATTTTTTGGACGGAGTATGTTCACTTCTTTTGAGTTTATTACTATTTTTTTTGGGATTGGGGTTGCAGAGGTGGGGAGGAAAATTTTCAAACTCCATTGTTGAAGGACAAGTTGAAATCTTCTGAACCTAGTTCCAGCTTTAGAAGCCTAATGTTTTGGACAAGTGTTTCCTTAAAAGCTAGCATGGTTTCCTACAGAACTTCCATTAAGTATGAGTGAATCGTTGTTGCTGTGAGTATCAGTTTTCATTCAGAAAGTGAAACTGTAAAGCAAGACGGCAAAAAAGGTTATTTGGACTATACACTTTATGATATTCTTGTTTTGGATGTTCCTTTTAGACCCACTGATCATGTTAAATGGTGCAGAAAGCATTGTGTTAATGATGGCTGTCTTTTTTGTGCCTTTTTTGTTAATTGGACATGAAGCAGGCCAAGGAGGCATTCGATCTCTTTACCGGGGCCAGACACCAGACCTGAAAGTTCAAATAGAAAAACAAGCCAGCAAAGAACCCAGCCTCCAGTCCCATGAACAAGACATGGAGATCGGGTATGAGGAAGATAAACCTTCATCACTAACTTTTGAGGGCCTGGAGCAGAAATTCCAGGATGAGATTTTGAAACTGATAAAAGAACATGGTGATGAAGAGGATGCAGAAAATACTAGGCACAGGGAGGTTAGTGCAAAGTGACTTAGATGCTTGCCGTTGTTTTTTTTCCTTGGACATGAATCCTCTTTTTCTTTGATATGGTAAAAAATAAGTTGAACTCAGTCCAGTGCATTGATAAGGTATCAGGCTAACAATAGTGAGGTTGCCGGGTCAAATATGAGGGCAACCAATTTGATTGAAAATTAGTAAAGATTGGGTATATATATACCCAATCCACATCTCCCAGCATCTTTGATTATAAGGGACAAAATTGGGTGATGACTTTTTATGTTTAGGAAAAGTATGATTTTTCTTGGCTAATGTCTACCAGTTGGAGTCTAAATTACTAAAGATTAGGTATATACCCAATCCACCTCTCCCAGCATCCTCGAATAAAAGGGACAAAACTGGGTGATGTTTTTTATTGTTTAGGAAAAGTAAGATTTTCTTGGCCAATGTCTATTAGTTCCCATTCATTAAATATGTAGTTTTTTAACGGACTAAAATGCTATGACTGCCAGTTGTTTGAATTTCCCTTTAGTCACCCCCATCCCCTACCCTTCTCTTCTGCAGAGTCATGTCAAAGACAAAGACTATGAAGATTAAAACACAATCTCAGGAGTAGCTGTCTTGAATTCTAAACTTTCTTAATTGTTTTTTAATGTCATGCTTTTTTCAGAAAATAGTGGAAATAAGCAACCAATACCAGGAGAAACTATCATCACTTCGAACCCTACAAGCCAATAGAAGAGAAGAGTTTCTTCGCAAGGAATCACAGGCACGACTTCATCAATATCAGCAAGCTGGAATAAGCCATCACCTTGTCATAGCAAGTTCAGTTGATCCCCATGGTTACAGCGGGTCTGCAGCCACAGAAGCACATCAAGCTTATGCCACAGGTCAGTATGAATCCTATAGAGATCGAACTTCATCTCTTGGGGGTGGGAGGAGCCAAGGAACTGAGGGAAGGGTTCCATATCCGCAGGGCCGTGTGTACAACAACAATGCTGGTGCTCGGTATTACTAATGGCCATCTTTCGACCCACGTTCACCAATGGCATTTGCATGAATCCATCACTAAATTGGTCAGTCTAGTTAGATGATTTCATTTATATTTTTGGTCTTTCAAATGTTCCTTCTCCTGTGTGGAATACAATGTAAAATATCTCCTCTTAGTTTACTTGACTAACTTTGATGAAACCTGGATATATGCTTTTAGATACGGTTTTAAATTACCATGACGCCCTCAGTGTGCCCTTGCTGTACCAGTGGCATGTAAAATTGCTCACAGTAACACATTGACGTGATCCTTTTTTACGATAAGAAATTGACATGATCATACATATGGGCAATATGGAGCAGACAATTTCTTAAATTTGCTTCAGAGCAAGGTCTTTCATTTCTGTTTTGGTAACTCTTCATTGAATTTAGTTGTTGCTAGAGCTTAGCTGTCAATTGTAGTTTGTGGTATTGCTATATTAGTGAATGTGTGTTTTAAGTTCCACTTAGGAATAGTGGCTGGCTAGTGGGAGTCGAGTCGTCCCGGTCTAGCATTGGGCAGTCCGATGTTGGTGTGAAAAGATTTGGCCCATGAAAATAGTTATATTTGTAAATTTCCAGTCGAGATGGCTGAATTTGACGTTATTTTCTTATCAGTAGATCAACTCTGTTCAAGAGCAAATTGGCCTCCTTCATTTTCTATATTTTGAATTAGTTCACCAATGTAGTGCTTGATTTATCAAGTCAATCTTCGTTACAATTAAAAATAGAACAGAAGTTGGGAAAATTTTCATCCCAAACCCCATTCTGAGAGAGATAAATGTTGACAGTGATGTTGCCCATTCTTTTGTTCAAAATTCAGCTCGTTCCCTCGGATTTTTGTTGTGCTCACTGCTACTAGCTTCATTTTCTTTGCCTTCGGCTCTTAGCAATTTCTCATGCTTATACGAAATACATGTCCCAAGTTACAGGTTCCGATACAACCAAATTGCCTTTTTTGTTTGGGAGGAAGAGAGAAAAGAAGGGGGGGGAGGGTTTGGGTTTGGTTTGGAATCTTGGCATCAATTTCACAAGTGCAAACCTAATTCTCTCACATATCAATCAAACAAAACCACGGTCCTTCCCCACTGGTAAAATTCACACTTCAAAGGCCTATAAACGTAAATTCGAACACCCCCCCTCTTTCCCCTTCTTCATCTTTTTTTTCTCTCTCCCCTCTTTCTCTCCTTTTCTCCCATTGTTATTCATCCAAAATAAGTTGGATTTCAAACCAACGCTTTACCAACTTTTGATACAACACAACTTTGTTGTAATACTAAAATTTCAACCAACACCAGAAATAGTGTTTCTACCCTATGATAGTGGATCAGAAGGTAAGGAAACTAAGGGTCGTAAAAAAAAAAAAAAAAAAAACCAATATTCAAAAACTATTTTTAGAAAGAATTCTAGAAAATTACTTTTGGTGTTTGTTATGCCGTAAAACTTGTTTAGTTATATGATTCTAAATATAGTTCTGTAGAATAAAAAACAGTAAAACTTATTTAATCAATAACCTAAAAAATAATAAAAACAAAAATATAGTAGTAGTGAAATTGTGGTGTTGGGTGAGTGGACACGGTGGTGAGAGTGTGGTGGTGGTGTGGTGGAAATGTTGTGATTGTGCAGTAGTGGTGGAAGTGTTTGTGAAAATATGGTGTTGGTGTTATTTTCTAAATGTTGGAATGGTTGTTTTTAAAAACAAACAAAACAATTCTAACTTATTTTCTAAATCTATCTAATTTTTGTTCTCAATTTTCAAAAAATAAAACCAAAAATTTTTGTCTAACCAAACAACTTTTCTCTTAGAAACTATTTCCAAAATTAAAAAATAATTTCTGAGATGCAAACTAATCAACACCTCAATTCCTAACAGATTTATATCCTCCGACTCAAATAGGTGAACATGTGCCCCCTATCACAAATATATGCACAAGGTGAAATGCGCAAGTGTGAGGCAAATAATCTTTCTCAAAAGAGCTTCATACCATTCCCTTTTATGTTACAAATGAGAGTAAATGAAGCAGGCTCCACTTTACAATTCCCCAACCCAAAACCCCGTGAAGTAGTGTGGCTAATGATACAATACATTCTTTGATTTACTACAGAGATTTACTTGTCCAAAATTGTGACAATTTGCCAATTTAGGAAGAAATATAAAGCAACATACAGAGTTACCAGATCTAAAAATGCATGGAGAGGCTGATTTTAATGAGCATAAATAATTTTGCAAGTTACCAACAGTAACAGCCAACTCCAGCGGCTAATCTCTCGGCAAATACGTAATCTTCTCATCTACCAACGGCCTCCACCAGGGAAACCAATCTGATGATTACTATATTTACTTCCCCCGGTTTTTGTTTCTATTAACTTTTACAAACCTACGCGAAGATTTATCACCGCCACCGGAGCCCAATGAGAAGCTCTCTCCCGCACTGAATTCTAGACTACTCGTTGCCTGAAAAGGAGAAGAGTTCTGCGGAGCGGCTTGATTCTGTTGGCCACCAAATTGAAAGGGAATTGCTGGTGATGGGGCTGTTGAACCAAACACGCCAAAGCCAGCTGGAGGAGACAAGATGGGCGGTTGACCAAATATGGAAACTACAGGTGTGGATGCCTGCACAGGGTCCTCGGCCATGCTATCTTCCATGTTCGTTTGATCACCATTGGCTGAGAATGCTGTGAAGACAGAGTTAGAGTTACCAAATACGGGCTGCGTTTGAGAAAGAGATGGTGAAGACAAGGTCATAGCAGAAGCGTTAGTAAATGAGAAAATTGCCGGCGACGTGGCACCAGTAGAGGATCCAAACACCAACGGTGCATTGTTGCTAGCAGCAACAGAAGCCGAGGATGCTCCAAAGGAGAAGCCAGTAGAAGGAGACAGAGTATTAAATGTGGAAGTAAAGATGGGTGACTGGGTGGGCTGCCAACCGGAACCAAATATGCAAGGAGCACCACTGTCGGAGCTAACAGAGTTGGTCCCAGAAATGGAAGCTGAAGAACTGACACCAAAGCTAAATATGCTAGAAGTAGGCCCATTAGTGGAGTTAACCTGATTCATCTCTGAAGAAGAAGCTGAAGAACTCAAACTGAAACTAGAACCCGAACCAAACAGTTTAGCTGCAGGAACTGCAGAACCTAAGAGAGAACTGCTAGAATTAAAAGATGAAATCCCAGAAGTCCCAGTGATTGGCAATGAGGAAGATGAACCAAATTGAACAGACATGCTCTGTGACACAGTTGCCACCCCTGATCTGGTAGCAGCTGATTGTGCACTAACCATGGCTCCATTGCCAGTGCCAGAAAGAGAACCCTGTGACTGATTATTGGCAGTTGATGAAGTGACTGAAGAATTTAGTCCAAAAATACCACTCCCTGTGCTTGGCATTGCAAATGATGTACCACCAAAAGGTGAGCTGGTTAGGTTTTCCTTCTTAGATTCATCCTTTATATCTGTGCATTCTTTGCTAGATGTCATTGAGAAAGCTGAAACAGGAGTTGGTGGAGAAAGAGAGGACCCAAACTTGAAAATGGGTGCCGCTGGGAGTGAAGATGCTGCAGTAGATACAAAAAGACTGTTATTGGATGCAGCAATTGAGGCGGCGGCGCTGCCAGTAGTAATCAGAGTGGCAGCACTGGTGAAAGAGGAAAAAAGGGTGGAATTTTGGTTTGTTAAATTACTGGAAGCTAGAGCAGAAGCTGTGGAAGAAAAAATAGAAAGGCTTGAAGCATTTGGAATTGAATTGTTGGCAGGGTTGCTGAAGGAGAAAATGCTGCTTGCTGATGTTGAAGCTGATACAGCAGACAATGGAGTTTCTGATTTTCCTATCATATCTGCAGCCTTCGAGTGTTCTTATTATCATCATTATCTGATTCCAAAATTTTCAGCTCAGTGTCAGTGCGACCAGAAGCTTCATTGGCCAAACTGCATACACAAAGATATTCAAATTGAGAGTAGCTTAAAGTTAATACATTAAAAACAGCCACAAAAGGGGACAAATTCTCTAAAGTTGAAGACTAGAAAATGTGATTGTGTCAATGTGTGAACTACTTTTACACCCTTCCAAGCAGAGATACCTCAAGAAAGTAGAACAGATTAAAATGCTATGCAGATGACCCAAACAACTGACTCAGTGTAAAAACATTTGCATCAAAGGTACGTCCATCCTGCTGGGTATCACATATCCACTCCCATAATCACTGTACCAGGTAACATATAGACTTAAATATCTCTTCCAGTAGTTATTCTATCATGTATGTTCAACCATAATCTGTAGTTTTACTTTTTTATTTCAGTCATCTAAGTTCCAGGGGAAATCTTTGTCCACAATTGCAAATTCTCAATGTACATACAATTGACTAATTGCTATCTTCATCAATCACCCTTAGAAAATGAAACAAAAAGATGTGGGCCATTGAATCAATGTGCATAAAATTTAACTTCTACATTTGGTGGAAGACGGAAAGATTGAGGGGACAAAGGGTTAAAGTATGCACACAATGGTCTGTTAAGCCCTATAAGAAGCCTTTGGGACAACATTCAACAAGTTCCCCCCTTTCAGTTTTGAGACTTATCATTGTCTACTTCAACGTGTTATACGATATCAGTTTTGCAGATTATAAAAGGAATAACTGTATCAGTTCATGCAGTCCTTGGGGTTTTCCTCTTCTAAATTAAAATTCAAATGAAACAAAAGAAACCACAACATGGGATGAAATAACCATGAATCGCACTTCTCATTAAGGGAGGAGGGAAGGTAGAATCAAAGGATTACACAATAGGTGCATGTTTAACTGACCTGTTTTTTGGTTTTGAAACTGACCATGCGCTAGATTTTGGGCCTGAAGACTCGTCAACAGAAGATGAGGAATTGAATGCAAATGGTGGAACCTTATCGACATTTTTAGAGATAAAACTAAACAATGTAGGAGGACCATTTGCTTCCTTTGGTGAAGTAATTTTACCGAATGCAGGGGCTGATTGACTAAGAACAGCCGGCTGGAAACTTGTGCTGGGAGCATGTGAAGTAGGGAAATGAAATTCACCAATTTTATCACCAACCACAGACCCATAAGCAGTTTCCAAACCAGTTCTTTTGTCCAAAGCAGGATCTACAGATGTCTTGACTTTAGGCAAAGCTCCAGCTTTGTCCAGTGTTGTTACTTCAGAAGATACGGAGTTGCTCTCCACCTCAGTTGTCTCCTGTATTCCTCTCCCTTCAGCCAACAATACAGATGAAGGCCTATTCAGATATATATCAGCATCCATCTCCAACGAATCCTTCACAGGATGACCATAACATTCAGAAAGAGAGCAAAGCTCATATGCAGGCAAAGAAAAACATCAGCAGAAACATACAGAGCAAACCATGAAACCATCCTGAGAAACATCAATTTATCCAGTTACTCTTCAACTAAAATGGAATGACAGACGCACAATTTTATCACTGAAGGGCATCAACAAGGTGTACGAGGCTAATTTTAAAGGCTAGGTAAATGGGGTGCATGATCTTACCAAAATCCCGTTTCGGTGCATGGTTTCTGTCAGCTCAGAAATGAAAACATTTCAGGAAAGCTTCGAAATTTTTCAGAAAGAAAATGGACACACAGAAAAAAGTTGAAAATAACTGTCCCAAATATTGACCGAAACAGTACAAAAATATCCGAAAACACCTCAAAAAATAGGTATGACGATATTCAATTACTTATTTTCATCCATTGTTACTACCTAGTAATCACACCCTTAATGAACCCTAAAATTCCTATCCCTATCAGAGCCACATAAACCTAATAAATCAACCAACCGTACAGTAGCAGTAATATAACAAAGAAACCATAGCTTATGATAGGGAGAAATTGTTCTTATAGTTTCCGGAATATGCACTAATCAGAACTTTATTAGATTGATTATCAAAGGTAGAAACAAAGACAAGACAGTAAGTTGACGAACAGAAACTGAAGCAGATAATAGCAACAACCTCATGCGCACTCATCTGAAAAGCCCGTTTCTTTTGAAGAGGTTGAGTGACATGCTTTGTAATGGAAGAATCTGCAGTTCTAATGGCGGGTACACCATCTTTGACTGAGACAGTGGAATCACCATTCACTGCAGGAGTCAAAGTATCACAAGGAACAGCAAACTTTTTCGGACCATTTTCTTCAACTTTATCATGCCTTTGAGAGGAAGAATCACGAGCATCAGGTAAACTATTGTTATGAAAATCCTCCATTTGACAACCATCTTGTGAATTCTGCAGTAACCGTGATGAATCTGCATTCTCCATACTCCTAAGAGCTTGTCCATGAAGCAAATTAGGTGTCAATTCGACGGCTGATTTCATCCTCGCAGCAGCTAGCTTAGATTCTAATGATTTTTTCTTTGGGGTTAACTTTTCGAGATGCTGCAAAATTTTTGTGGCTATCTCACTGGACTTTGAAGGAACAGAGGCATAACTTGTACTAGCGAAGCTACTATCATCATTCTCGCTGACAGTTTTAGAGACCTTATCCTTATTTTCACCATTGAAAATCAGATTCTTGGTCGAAGATGCAGGATGTTGGGCAGGATCAGAACCAATTTCCACTCCATGAGTAGAAAGAGGAACCCTTTGAGATAAAAGATTAGGCTTCTGTCTGATTCTGCGCATGGAACCAACAGACCCAATATCATCATCAAGTACCGAACTTCTTCGCTTTATCGCCTGGACAAAATTAAAAATAAAGGAAAATAAGTGAAAGATGGCATAGAAGCAAAATCCAGGAGGTCAGATCCATAAAAAAAGTTCCAATATCTCCTGACAGATACCAGTTGCTTAGACCCCAACTCTCCGTCATGCTCCCATGTGCGAAGTGATGATGATGGTGATCCACCATAACCAGAATTTGTGTATTTAGTACCCTGAAAACAACGCAAGATGGAATAAAAATATAAATCATGGCCCACAGGATGAGGATATTTTACACAAAAATGTAACCCAGCATATGAACCTTTTGGGAGGCAGTTGAATAAACCCTGGAATATGGGGTACGAGCCATGCTGTATATCGCAGATCTGCTACGAGATCTTGGGGTTGTAAAACCATTATCAGGAACTCCAACATGGACAGCAGTCTTTGATACCAGTGACGTGAAGGGTGACTTGGGAGGAAATGGAACATTACTTGGCAAAATTGCGTCTTCCTTTGGAGCTTGGCTGCGCAAACCCAATATTGATGGTGATACTTTCAAAGGCCTACTGCCCATGTAAGCTTTTGCAAGCTCAGCAGGTGAAGCAACATTATCTTCAGGAACCTGAAAACAATACTGACAATCAAAAATAGAAAGCAACAGAAAAATGACCTGTGGGCACATTATTTTAGTGGAATTGTGATTGGGAAACGGGGTGAGAGGGAGTAGTAGAAGATCATGTTAACTTACTTTAGAACTGATAATCGGGGTGGAAATGGCGCCATGGAGTCCGTTTGTCGCAATCCCTTTTTCTTTTGTAGAAGTGCTTGCAAATTCCGGATCTCTTTCCAAGTCAGATACTGGCTTTGGAAGATTTGCCTCAGTCCTGTCCTCATCCCCAGCAGGTAAATCAGCAGTTCTCGAATGCAATAGTTCTGTCAAACGATCAATTTCAGATCTGTACCAATAACAGTCAACCTCAGTAACGCAGGATAAGTCTAGGCAGGCATTGAGATAATGCATTTGACACCTCCTCATTCTAAATTGTATCCAATCATCCAACATGCATGGGTGGGGGCCCGCTTGAGTAGAATGGATCCCACTTGAATTTATAATGGATGATAAACAATTGGAAGGAAATTAGAATTAGAGAGAAGCTTATCTGCAAATAACCAAACCAAACCAAATTTTATATTTCAACCATTTAGGGTCGGCTATATGAGTCCGTCTTCGCCATTCATTTCGATCGAGGTCTACCCTTACTTCCATTAAAAAAAATTATATCACTTTTTCTAACTGGTGCCTCTATCGGCCTCCGTTGAACATGACCAAACTAGAGGTGTTCACTCTACCCAACGAGTAGAAATTATGGTATTCTATTTTCTTATCTAATACTTTGAGGAAAAATTTTTCCTTGGCCGACTCTACCCGACCAAGTGTACTATTCATACCTGAATTCCATCCAAAACAACCGGGTAGGAAATCGGATGAACACATTTTTTAGTTATTAATTTTTGGATTATTTTAACAATTCAATTAACTAACCTGCACCAATTAATCAACACAATAAACCAATAACACTAAAAATGCACAATAAATTCGATAATACATAAACAGTTATAATAAAACACAATAAGAAAGTCATTAACATCAATAAATCATAATAGTTGAACAAATATAATAAATATATATATTTTTAAATATTAATATTTATATGTGTGTCTATGCGCGCGCGCGTAAGATCGAGTAAGAATACAAAATTTTTATAGGTATTCCGCATTCTTATCAAATTTTTGTGGAATACCAAAATTCCTACATTTGCCTACCAGATTTTTTGTGGTAGCTAATCAGTAGGGTTGGATAAGGTCGAAATATATGGGTAATCGAAAATTTGAACTCTCTAGACCAAACCATCTTAATCTATTCTCTTTCAACTTATCCTCAATTGGAGCTACTCCTACCATTTATCTAATATGGTCATTTTGTATTCTATTTATAGTTTTTCCACACATCCACATTAACATTCTCATTTCCGTTATCCTCATTTTATCAATAGGTAATTTTCTAGTTGTCCAACATTGATGTCCCCAGTGTTAATTAAGGCGTAAAGCGAATCAAAGCGAACCGGTCCGGTCTCCTGAGGGCCTAGGCGAAAAGCGAACCGAACACTTTATCGAAGCAAAGCGAACAATACAAAAAATAAGCAAATATTTTAATTTGATACTTTGATTACTCCAAAATATTTAAATGCAATCAAAATAATAAACATCAACATATTTTAAATTGACAAGATATTAAATATTGAACATTATTGCATTCTAAAAATAATCAATTGATATAATCACGTCATCTAAATGTAAAACTAGCAAATATGGATTCGACTTCCACCGCGATTGATTAATGAGTAATGCTAGATAGACTTAAAAACTAAACTTAAAAATTAGACTTGATAATCTCAACTATTGAATAGATAGTAGGTCCCAATAAATGTTGGGACCCACAGTGAAATCAATGGTTGAGATTATCAAATCTAGTTTTTAAGTCTACTTTTTAAGTCCATGTAGCATTACTCTTGATTAATATCACCACCTAACAGGACACTCAAAAATTGATTAATCAAATAGAGCATATAGAAAATTGATTAATCAAATAGAGCATATAGAAAATTGATTAATCAATTGATTGACCAAACAAATTAATTAACAAGAGCATTTACATCAAAACAGAGCATTCAATATCATCTAATCATAATAAGGCAAATTATTATATATATATAGCATTATCTATGCTAGAATTTGGTTAATGTTAAGGAAGAATAAGAAGGATTTTTTTTTTTAGGGGGGGGGGGGGGGGGGGTTGGAAGAGAAAATAAAAAAATTGTCAAGCATTCGCTTTTCTCGCTTAGGCTCACTTTTTCCTCGTTTTACTTAACCTCGCTTCGTCTGGGATGTTCAAGACGACCAAGGCTCGCTTCGCTTCTCGCCTAGGCTCGCTTTTCACAACACTAGATGTCCCATACAACATTGTTCTTATAACAGTTCGGTAAAACTTATCTTTCAATTTTATTGGTATCCTTCTATTACATATTTCCTCCACTTAAGTCAATCGGCATTAATTCTATGAGTTACATCGCCTTCAATCTCTCCATCATTTTTAATGATCGATCCTAGATATCTAAATTGTTTACTCGTTGGTATTTCTTAATTTTCAATTTTAACTTTTTCACTATATCTACTTCTTCTATTATTAAAATTACATTGCATGTATCTAGTCTTACTCCACCTTATTTTAAATCCTTTCGACTCGAGTATCTCTTTCCAAATTTTTAACTTATTGTTAATCCCCCTTCGAGTTTCATCTACTAAGACAATGAGACAATATCATCTACAAAGAGCATACACCGTGGCACATCATCTTGAATGTGCCTAGTGAGTTCATCCATAATTAGGCCAAATAGGTATGGACTTAGGGCCGAATAGGTATATGCAAATAATTGAGAATTAAATTCCAATTAAAGAAATTGACCCTATCATACATCCACATCATGAAAGTGGAAACTTAATTAAGCAGTTTTTCTACTTTGGAAAAAAAAAGGGACAAGGGTTTGAAAGTATGTATCTAGGTTTGATTTAGGCAGGACATGGATAGGATTGAATAAAATAAAATTAAAAAATATCTAGGATTTGGAAGTAAATAATCTTCATGCATGAAAGAATATGGTCGAAAACAGGAGGTCACAACTTTTAGAATAACTTTAGCAGCAATTGGACTGGGTCTACACAACTATTTGGAAACAAATTAAAAACAAATCAACATCAGAAAGTGTCTGAACCTAATTCCAATACATAAAGTGCATTACCAGTTTATGATTATGTAGGGAGTCACAATGAATATCATGATTGATATGATAAATGTAAAATATCCACCATACAGTGTATATGGCATGACGAAAACCTACTTGCATGCACAGTTAAAACACGGGCATAGGCACAACTAAAAGAATGCACTTGCACATGCCTACTACAGGTGCAGACAAAAAACAAACATGCTTGTACACATGACACACGCACACATTTACATTTTAAGTGGACCATGCCAATCCCCTTTTTCCCTCTGACAATTTCATACCTGGTAAAAGTCTTCTGCTTTAAAATTTGCTCGAGCTCAGAAATTCCACTGCCAACAGAACTATTGGTCGGATTTCCACCTTCATTAATGGTAGATTCCTGGGCCGAAGCACGATTCTAATCCAAAAATGGGAAAAAAGTGAAAAAAAAATAAAATATGATCACTCATGTTAAGATATTAGAAATGCAAAAGTCAAGTTGTGCAAAACTACAGTTACTGCTTCTCTACTTAAAAGAGTCAGTAGAGTCCTATAAATTTGTTGGTTTTAAGGATCTAACAAACATAAGCATAAATTCAAAAACATCGTCGCCAGTAATTCTAAAACGATTTAATTAACCTACATAAAAACATTGATTCAGAAACGACTACACTACAAAGATGATAAGATACATTAACATGACAAATTTTTGTAACAGAGGAAGATACGAAAGGTTTGCCTTCATGCATTTGTGACATTTCAGTGCCTCTTATTCGAGAGGAGCCAGTCCAAGTGGTAGCAGGCTACCCAAGGATAGCATATTTGGGTGTTATGCCTGAATTTCTGTAGCATCTCAGAAATGCAACAAACAAGTAAAGGAATCAAGGGTCTCAAACCTCAAACCTTATTCCATAGTTGGAATCTGTGTGGTGTCCAATCAAAAAGGACAGTTTGTCGATCGATAATGTAAGGAGTGGAATCGAAAAAGATCAATCGCACAATGACGCCCAATTAATTTTGGTGAGTAGCAAGTCTACTTGAAGAAAATTTGTGGCTTCAAATCTGATTATGCCAAAGCAAAAGTATCGTAAGCACACAACATGCAATTCTTCAAGGGGGCATGTCAAAAATAAAATTTCATGGATTTTGGAATCCTTCAACCATAATGGCCCAATAAAGGCACCCCACCTTCATCAGTTGATCTGAAATCCCTCACCCCACACTTACAAACTCTCTATTTATCACAGCTATGAAACCTTGCAGAATTGGAGCACAACTTTGAGCTTGAAATTGCATTTTTATACCTTACTTGCACTAGTTGGAGCTTGATTTTCTGGCTTAACACACTAAAACTCATCAGATTAAATGAGTAATGCTGCATGGATGCGGAACCAGGACTAAGTTCCACAAGGTTTACCATTTTAATCAAAAGGGATTAGAAGTATCAGAAACCTTCAATAATCTTATTATACCATTTATAAATCAATTCAATTTTGAAAATGCCACATTGCTACGATAACTACAACATATATGTATACTGTTAATAAATCAATTTCGAATGGTAAATACGTCCAGGAAGATTCGGAGAAATCCAAAAAATGCCAATTTCCAGTACACCACAATGTGATTAGGATCCCCTCCACAAGTATCCATGCTACTTTGAATCTCTGGTACAACAAAATTGAGTATTTCTTTCATATCACTTGACCAGCTGCAAACCCCCAAAAACCAAACTGCACCAGTGCACACACAGAAGGGCAAGCATGTATAAAAAATAACATAATGCAAGGAAAGGTATTTCTGAAGTGGCAGAAACCTCTGCTAGAGCACAGGCTTACGTTGCATCAAATAGTTTAAAGTTATTAATATCGTGATTTTTGTGAGTTGTGATGTCCAAATACCTAGATGATTAATTATAAGGCTAGACACCGAACCAATAAGTTATGCACTATGCTGCTTTTCTTCTTGATTAGTTAGTCAAAAGGATAACAAAAACAAGAAACTCATAATTGACCAAGCACAGAGTTTTCACAATTGACATTCCAATATTCTTGATAACTAATTACAAACTTGAGAGGGAGAAAAAATGTTCTCTTCTGCCTCAGAGGTTATCTTTTGGTCAGCTTACATCTAAAACTAGCATATCTGCTTACATATGAAGCAATAGATCCAATAAC